AGTAGTTAGGTCCGACGTTAGTTGTAGTAATACTTTGTTCCTACTGTCCGACGAACTAACTTATTACTTCTTCTTCGTACGACTAGACAACAACACAACAACACACACACACACACACACACACACACACACACACACACACACACAGTATGGCACACTTTTAAAAAAGTGTGTCACTGTTTCCTGAGAGAAATGATCTCCTCTCTAGGATGTGACTGAAAATCATGGGCAACTGGAAGTCTGGTGTACCCCTGTGGACTATTAGTCACCCTATAAAAGTTAATTTAAAACAAATTAATCCATAAATCTCTATATTGTCTGCAAATACTTACCACTATAAAAAACCTAATTTAAACCCTTTCCCCTCTATTCTAAATTAGGGTTGCACTGCATTTTAGAAAATGTCTTCCCAACTCGGAATAAATTACCAGTTATTTCCTCTTATTGATGACGGTGAAAGTTCTAAGGGTGGTATTAGGTCCAACATCACAATCCCTTCGTACTCAAAGAGAAAGAATGCACAGTATTTTATAGGAGTCTTAATACAGAAACTTTATATATTGGAAAAGTTTAATTTTAAATGCAGTTCCTCAGGCCGTTCCTACTGAAAGTCACTTAATAGAGTCTCTTAGTTAACACTTTAGTCACTCTTAGCATGTGGAAGAAGATGAAATCAGAGAGGTAGATCTTTGACAGAAATAGAATTTTTACTTTTATCAGGATCTTTAATTATGGGGTCTCAAAGCAGAATAAACAAGAGTGGCCCTCCCTTAGGGAAAAGGCTAAAAATGGCACCCTGAACCATTAAATGGTTTAGATTTCTACTGAAAAGCCAAAATGCAGACTTTCTAAACTTTAGAAAACTGTTTAAAAATATTTGTGGAGCAAGGTGAATGACCAGGTTAAAAAAATGTTTCTTATCTTTTCTAAGTTGATGAGATAGTAACTAGAAACATTGTCATTTAAAACACTAATTTATAATCCCTCCCACCCCCATCTTGAGGGACAGCCTGTTTAAAAGGGAACATTGCCCCCTCTGGTACTTTGGAACTTTTAGAAATGCAATTTTTGCATAGAAAAATCCTATTCTTGATGCTAAGTGGTTTTTATCCTGAATATTTGGGGAAAAAATGGCTACCTTCTGAGCCAGAGGAAGACTCAGGTGGCGAGTTCGTCAATTAAATCTAAATGTCCCCAATTCCATTGTCTATAGCCAATGAGAATAAACAAGGGGGTATTTAGCACATCGAGACATTTCACAGAAAGGTGTTCCAGGGCTGTCATTCCATAATCTAAAAAAAGGCACTTAGCGAACTGCTAATTATCAGGCTCCCCCACACCACTGTACTGATGTTAAATGGCACTGTTCCATTAGCTGTAATTATTCCATTTGTAATAAATAAGCATTAACCATTTTCAAGCGTACACTCACAAATCATTTTTAAAGGATGAGTTTCATGCATTTAAAATCATATATTTCAAAACAGCCTCAGCGGCAAATCTACGTGAAGGCCTAAATTCAAATGAGAAGAGCATTTAAGAAATTAAAATAAAATATATTCAGTAACAGAAATTATTGCAGCCCGCAAAACCTTCAAAAGAGAGAGAGAGAGAAAGACAGAATACTGCCACCAAGTTAAGGAGAAAAATGTTTCGATGTTCAATGGGGTGGATATAATAATTCTCCAAAAGGCCCAGATTTCTTTCTATAAGTCAGCACCTGGAACCTAGGGAGTGATTTGTATGAAAACAGACTGATAGTGTAGGATCAGATGTGGTCACATTAATACACAAATGTTTTTGACCTCTATTCGGGGAAATGAGATGTAAGCGACCACTTGCAAATGCGGAGATACAGATGTGGGCGGGCGTGACCTGGGGGAGGAAAGGAGGAGACATAACAGGCTTAGACCTTGCCCACAGCTGCTACCTGGAGGTCATCTGAAGGAGCACAAGACTTAGTGCATTCACCAGTCCTTAGAAGTTTACCCACCTTGCTTACGCTGAGAACAAAACAATTAATTAGCAGTACTATAGAAAGTCACAGAACCATATAGGTATGATGTGTGCACCTTTTCTGACGTATGCCTTCCTGCAATGAAATTTACAAAGCAAAGCAAAAACTGAATGAATAAATTATAAAGTGACTGTTACAAATTGGTAAAATCTATGTGTGGGTAACCAAAAAGGCTGATGTCGATGTAAAAGATAAACCCTAACATTATTTTTTCAAAGTAAATAAAAAATAAGCGCTTACTTTATTAATGAACTTGGAGAGTCAAAGTTCTGTTTGCTATGAGTCTTGTGCAGAAAGGAGGTACCTACATATTGGTCCAAGAGTCCTCAAAGTAGTTCTAGGTGTGGACTCCCTCAAAGACTCAGAGCTTTTAATACTAGAGTGGAAACTATTCGTGCATCTCAAAGGATTTTCTGAACATTGAATAATTTTACTAGCAGAAAATATGACTTGTTATATATCCACAATATATGTAATACATATTCCCAATCTTGAAAAAAAAATCGGTTACCGATAATACCAACACACAGGATTAACCTGCTTGCTATCGTGAGCGATGGCTTAGTGTCGTGCACTGTCCAACGGAGCACTAACATGGAGATTTAATTTAAATTAATTCAAATTAAACAAAATTAAAAATTTAGTTCCCCTGTTGCACTGGCTACATTTCAAGTGCTCAACAGCCACCCATAGCTAGTGGCTATGATTTGGGGCAACACAGACACAGAACGTTTCCATCACGGAAGAAAGCTCTCATGGACAGCACTTTCGGGAAGCACTCTGTTAACAGTCGGCTAAAAAGGATAGGCCCAGACAATTCATAGTTTTCTAACCAACAAAAGATGCTAATGAGTTGCTTTTACTGCTTAGGTTTTCTGCAACAAATACGCTTTTCAAATTTTGCAGTCAATCTATGCCCTTGAAGTTAAAGTTTATATTCCCAAGAAATGAAATCGAAACTTCAAATCTGAAGTTAAATGTCGTGGGGGGCCTTAGGCACATTTTCTGTAAACACTGGGAAGAAGAACTGTGATTTTTCTGATGACAAGAAACAGAACCTGTATAAATTCAAACTTAAACAGACTCTTTACCCCACTTTGCCTGTGCTGTCTGCTCACTGTGCTTCTGCACTCACTGAAATGTAAATATTTTCTAAATGTCTCTTTCTTATCTTTGCCTATAGGGTGAATAGCACCTTGTATTTTCAAATACAGGACCACGAGATCATTTTATTTCAAGTATTCTCATCAAATGCTACTGTCAACTCAAAGTTTTGATGCCTTAAGTTTTCTTCCACACTGTAAACATCAGTTTTCTTCTTTGTTTGCTGAAAGCACTTGGTTAACAATTTAGCACCCTGAGATAGCACTAAGTCACAGGACAGAATTTTTAACAGAAGCTGTTGACCTGATTTTCCACAACACGGTACCCAAATACTGACTCGTAGTTAAGCAGGGTCCACTCTGTCTAAAATACACTATATACAAACTGATATATTAATACATATGTTATATATTATATCATATATTAACCTATCTATATATGTATATAATATAATGTATCTCATATATTATAAAATGATAACTCAAAACATTTGTTTCCTTCCAATTTTTTGGTGAACCCACAGTGATCCAGAAAATTGGCATAGAGTTTACTCTTTCAATTTATGGACTCTGAGTGCTAAGGAATGTACAGTGACTTTCTTCTGAGATCTGTTCTCCAGTCATAAGACTTGGGAACGTCACTCAGTGTTATCCAGGAGAACTGTCACTGGCTGGTCTGGTCTAGTCGCCCTTCTACAGACCAAGCTGTGCTGGTGCCACATGTTCATTTGGTCCTTCCTGGAAAAACCCTGTTCTCACTTCAGGGCCTTCATTAGAAGATTTTATCCCTTTTTATACACTTATCCAAAATAAGATGTTTATATTCTGAGTATTTAATCAGTTGATATCTTCTGAAGGCTTTATTTCCTTAAATTAAAAAAAAATTGTCTCTTTCGATAGCTGTGTCCTTTTCCTCTCCCATTCTTTACTAGAATATGATTTTATCTACTCCTACGCATTAAATCATATCCCTAGGTAGAGACCAGGCAAAGCATTTTGGAAAAGTT